TCATGTAGGGTAGGGTAGGCCTACATTTTCAATGGGTTGATGTTAAGGTTTAGGGGTTTTAGGGTTTTAGGGTTTTGGGGTTTTAGGGTCTTAGGGGTTTAGGGTTTTGGGGTTTTAGGGTTTTAGAGTTTTTGGGTTTTGGGGTTTAGGGTTTTAGGGTTTTAGGGTTTCAAGAAAACTGTTGGGTGTTCGCATAGATAGTTTGAAAGTTACATTTTGAAGAACCCAGGTTGTTGGTAGGTCTAGGAGTGTTTGAAGGCACTTATGAGAGGGGCGCAGCTTCTGTTGGCTTGGCGTAGTGGTATTCTTACTGATTTTTAGTAGGGGCTCTATGGGGAACATATTATGGTAGGGGCTATATAGAGATTATATTGTATAGGGACTACCTAGAGACTATATGTATTGTCTTTTCCCCTACTAAGAACCAGGAAGTTGTTGATGTTGATGGTTCTCTTGTAAGCCAGGCCATGTATCAGCAGTCTCGCGCCTTTCGGTTAGGAGGCTGCAGGCTTTGGCACCTCAGGTTTAGGCTTTTAAAGTTTAGGGTTTAGGGTTCAAGGGTGAAGATTTCTAGAGTTTAGGGTTTTAGGTTTAGAGTTTTGGGTTTAGAGTTTAAGGTTTAGGCTTCATGGTTAGCGACTTAAGGTTCACCACCCGCAACAACATGAAGCACGGAATACGTCGACTACATTTACAGTCCCAATCACATCGGGATGTAAAGATGGAAAGCCTGGAACCAGCCGGTCAAACAGATTTCCTTGTTGCGCAAACCCTACGCCCTAAATCCTTCTTGGCCTGAATCTTTTCCTCAATCTAGGTAACAGCAGTTCTTTACACCAGTACTCTTGGGGAACTTTGAAAAGAGCAGTCCTTCATCGCCAGATCCGCTTTCTCGTCTTGGCCTGCTATATGGGCCATGGTCTGAACTCCTAATATGGCCTTAATATTCCCTGTAATAGTCCCCATACAAACCCTATACAAACCCTTTGAGGAATTTAAGCTATAGCTCCTATGAAATTCAAGCTTTCATTTTAGAGATCTCACGCAGCCATGTCTTGAGATCAGGCTTCATGCCAATAGTCACCAAAAAAAACAAAGATCAAAGATTCCCATCTCTATATTTGGGTTATACAAGGTTTTTATGCTGGTGATATATCGGGATAATGGAAAAGAAAAATGGAAACTACTATTTAGGGTTTAGGGTTTGAATGCCATGAGATGACTTCCCTCCAGTCCAAACCAACCCCATGTGGTGCCACTGTAAGATTGCTGGGTTCGGGAAACTAGGGTACACGTTCCTAGTTACTGTAGTCATTGGCGAGGCACTCCCAGTACTGGCAAGCCAGGTTGAGTTTGGGAAAGCCATGATACCCTACAGGTACTTGGGAACATGAGGAGATCACACAGGTCCTTTTTAAGGATTATACGGGGGGTCGCTTTGAGAAACTCACATATCTCCTCGTGGTAAGACCCAATCAACCACCAATCAGCCTTTGTAATGGAAGCGCAGCACACTGGGTTGCTGTTAAGGAACTTCAATCCAGTTACCTTAGTGGGTATATATAGTCAATAATAGGGTTTCCCCAATATAGCATCTTGAATTAGGTTCCTTAACAGCGGCCCAGCACCCTTCTATGCATCTCTTCGAGTGGAATGAGCTCCGTTGTTTTCAGTGAACCTCTGTCAAGGCCAGCGAGGGTACCTGGAAAGTTTTTACCATTTAAAGGGAGGCTACTTCAGATTTGGCAGGGGGCCCAATCACTGTGTAGACCCTCTTACTAGCTCCAATACCATAACACCTCTACTGACAGCACCTCTGAAGCAACCGGACCACAATCTTCAGGCCCCATGCCTCGTTGTCAATTTTCTTTTCAAGACATGCCAGCTGTTCGCTGCTTCTCCACCTCTAGTGTGGAGTCGCGCCAGACACCTGACACCATTCCCATGCACAAGGCTTCTGAACTTGTGCATCTGTCTGGCATCAGATCCTGTGGCTTAGCCTGTTCAAGCGACTAGCATTGTTTTGGTGGTTGAACCTAGTAAGATTATATTCCTTAGAAAAACCGGCTATACCCCAAAAGGAGGATATAATCTTCCTGTATATTGGGTACCATAGTATCCCCAAGTAAGATACTACTCAAGTGCAGTTCTCTAAGTTCTCTGTTACAACTGGTCACCATTAAGTTTGGCGAGCGCTGTTGGTGAAAATTGAGTCAGTATTTTGCAGCCATTGAAAGGTTGTAATATGTCTAAAGAAAGCTGAAGCAACATCCTTGCAACAATGAGTGGAGAACCAAAGGAAAGAGAAAATGGAACAAATGGAGACTGGGTGATATGAAAGATCTTACTATCCCATTACGGGGTTTTTGGGCATCCCCAGACCCTATAAGACCGGATAACTCTCCCATGACCATAAAGAGGTACCAACTTCTAGGGGGGTGGGGTTACTAAACTCTCTTGTTAGAGATACATCGAGAGAGGCTATCTGGGACAAAGAAATGTGGCCTCAACAACTTTGGTATAGCTTATTCCATGTTCCCACTCCCCTCTGTGTTCCCATCATGCCAGACAAGGGACAGATCTTCGAATCCGCCCCACCAGAGACCATTCGATCGCCCACGATGTCGACGCACCAGACTTTGCTGCTGTGCTCTTCAAACGTGCCTGCACACTCGGCCGTCCTGATCAGCAACAAAAAACAGCCCCCAAGTTGAGGTAGAACCCGCAGCATTGTATCCTGAACTGTCTCAGGTATTTCTCTTGAAATTACCTCTTCTCATTCTTGGAGGCAGGCAAACAGTGGATCGGGCAGGAGGCACTACAATGGAGAGCTCGTAAGAAGCCACAGCCACAGCCGTTTAAAGGTTGCCTTCTTGTCGTCTAGTGGCTTCTCAGACTTTCAACACGTGTCCTGATGTGCCACAGCTTGAGCAAGCCATCGACGCTGCTGCTCATCAGCTGCATGCCATTCGCCAGGAAGGCGACTCGCAATACCTTGCCGCTAAGTCAGCAAGGGTACTAAGGGGGGGAACACCTTTCAGGCCAATCAAGGACAAGCTTTAGTTTGCTTGCTACCTTTTGGCGGACATGCGTTAAACTTACCATGTGATCTCAAAAAGGACCTTGTCGTCTTCCTAGCGTAACAGCGACAAGATGATGTGCCACATATCTCTTTTTGTAATCACAAGTCCGTCGTTGAAGTCCCCTCCCTGGAGGATCTCCAGCGGGAAAACATTGAAGTGATTTTACTAGGGATCACATAAGACTCACCTTCCCTCTGAAGGATATGGGGCTTGGCAAACACAATTGCGAAAGCAAGGGCACCTAGAACATTCATGATAAGCATAACATCGTTGTTGCAGGTGCTGAGGTATCAAAATCACGTAAACTAGCTTGAGCACCATAACTGCAGCAGTGGAAGCGGTAGCAGTAGTAGCAGCAGTAGCAGCAGTAGCAGCAGTAGCAGTAGAAGTAGCAGAAGCAGTAGCACTCGTCATCGTGGTGATGGCAGTAGCAGCAGCAGTAAGGACCAGTCATACTCGCAATGTGCGATTATGTAACTATCCCAATCGTTTTCATAGCTCCTTTCTCAACCATACAGCGTTTCGAGGTGCATCGTCGAAGTGTCTGTTGAACGCTGAGGTTGCACTTGGTGTTGTGCTAATGTGAAGCTTCGGCTAGGTTCAGGGTGTCCAGGGGAGAGGGTACAGCTTCCTTGCCTAAGGCTCGTCGATCGTTGCTGTTTAGAGCCGTGGCCTTGGCGGTATGGCGTGGGAAAAGCAAAAGGGGCCCCGCAGTGTGAGCTGGATCCAGAAACCCTAGCCCCAAAACCCTACTCCCAACAAACCCTTATTAATCCCAGGATCCGTCGACTTCTTTTTTTTGATTCTCAGCTACTGCAAGCTGAGCCGCAAAACCGGAGCTGAGATAACCACCCTAGACCCTAAACCCTGACTGAGAAAGACCCAGGCACGGCGCTGCTGTGGCCCTGGAAGGAGCGGATGGCCCTGCCGGCAGCTTACAGGTTCGGTAGCTTCAGGGGTTCAGGGTTGTTTAGGGTTACTTGGGGATGGTAGGAACTTATGGTTGTTTGGGCTTATTTGGGGATATTAGGGATTTAGGATCATCACGGGTTTCAAGGTTTTTTTGGTGCTGAAGGGGATATTAGGGGCTTAAGCTGGTTTGTGGTTATTGAGGGATTTTAGGGGTTCAGGATTGCTCAGGTCTACGCTAGAGGCAAAGATTCGAGGAGCGAACTGTTGTCAGAGTTTGTGAATTTTCGTTAACCCCTCAGGCTATTAGTCACCTGCGCGCCAAGGGCGCCAATGAGGGTGATTGCTCGGAAATTTGGGCTTTACAGCTCGGGGCTCCGGGCAGTTCTCGCTGGGTGTGCAACGCTGGCTGCCCCTGTAGCAGATCCACAGCAGTTTCTGGGTTGCTGTGAAGGAACTTGAATTAAGTTACCATACTGGATATACATATATACAAACACTAATTAATGGGGTTTCCCTAGTAAAGTAACTCAAATTAAGTTCCTTGACAGCAACCAGTTGTCTTATGCAAGGGCCATGGGGCTTTGTAAGAGTGCTCACCTGATCACTACCGACTCGGACTTCACCTGAGGTCGCAGCCGCTGACCCTAAGTATGGCAACAACAGCGTCAGGGAGTGTTAGATCCCCTTTAGATGAGGCGTCCTTGAGAGGCACCATGATTTATGACCGGGTCTCCTTGTGAAACAGCAAAGGTAATTACACAAATATTCCCAAGTGCAACCCAATAAGCGATGGAAAGGAGAATTCTTTTGAGGATACCTGTTCCCCCTATGCTTCTCTGATTCCACAACACAGATTTCTTCTTGGGATAAAATCAAATCATGACGGTCTTCGTTAAAGTAAACTATGACCAACAAAGACCCAGCAAAGTCTTTTGTGGGAGGGAGGCAACCTGAAACCCTAAACCCCAACTAAACCCTGAACCCTAAAGCTTCTGGCCTGAAATCCTTTAAATTCCAGAGGCGGATCGTGGCATCGCCTGGCGGCACCCGGAAGGGGCGAGTTTCTCAACGGTATGGGGTCCCATTCTGCTTAGGGTTTAAAGATGAGGGCCCCATTCTGCAGAATCATGTAGAGACTACGCGGGGGCTAATTGTGGGGTTCCTTTGTTTGTCTTGGTTCGGTTTAGCGGGTCTGGGGACTTGCCTGAAACCACCTTCGTTTCCAAACCCTAAACTTTGGGGTGTTTAGGGTTTAGGGCGCTAAACCCTGATGTAAAGTTGCAGTACCTCAGCTTGTGCACAGGCCTAAACCCACACCCGAAGCCCCAACCCCCAATACCCCAATACCCCCTAATTGAACCCGAAACCCCAAATTACAATCCCTATAGACCTTAGGTGGACCCCCCACCCAGTAATAGTGACTATAAGAAATAATAAGGATTATATTAGGGCCCTCTTATATTCCTATTATACCACTATTACAGGGTGGGGGGTCCTCCTAATATAGACCCCTCAATCAACCCGGCTTCCATTTAATTTTCCATGTGCTCTTCCATTTGGTTTTTCAAGATCTACCCTAAGCCTGGACTAAAAACCAAAAGTTCTGAACTAGTCCGCAGTTTCCATTTCAGTTTTCGTTTGCTTTCTCGTGTACATAACACGCCACTATTGAAGTTCTAAGCCCCAGACGCCCGGATCCCCAAAACTCCCTGAAAACCCTAAACCCCAAACCCATATAGACCCCAAAACCGTTTGAACCAGGCAGATGCCTGAGGCGGAAGCCACCACCTGGTCAATGGGAGAGAAGGCCACGCACCAAACACCTCGCCGGTGTCCTTTGCCTCAGGCTCCATAGGGTTTAGGGTTTGGGGTTTGGGGTTTAGGGGTTTACGGGTTTAGGGTTTAGGGGATTTTGAGGGTTGAGATGCTTGCAACAGAAGCTTAGACTTGGGGCTGAGGTTCTTTTTAACAAGGGCTGAGGGTTCAAAAATTTAGGGTGCAGGGTACGGGTTGATGCTTGAGGGTTGGATGTTTTAAGGCACCAGAGCCTGCAAAGGCGCCCACAATAAGCTCTAAGCAGCCGTCCCATGAAGAACGCTGAGTCGCCCCCTAGAATCTCTACACAACCCTTTGAACAACCTAAACCCTAAACCTTTGAAGGAAGGCCCTACTGCTGGGTTGTTGTTAAGGTACTAAAAATAAGTCACTTGGGCATCTACTAAATAGCAGGGTTTCCTTGCTATAGTAAGCTATAGTAGCTTTATTAAGTTCCAGAACAGAAACCCAGACTATTCCAGGCAAACTCTGGGAGAAGCACACTCTCCGAGGAGATCTCCCTCTGGAAACTTCCAAATACGGACCAGCTTGTCCTGCGATGTTCAAGGCTGGGGCTAGGAAGTCTTCACTGTCTGGGGTTTAGGGGGAATCTATCTAGGGTGTAGAGCTTAGGCTTTGAGGTTTAGGGGGTTTAGGGTT